CCCCCCCCCCCCCCAGACCCCTGCCACCCTTGTGCCCCCGACCTGGAAGCCTCTGCCTGCAGCTGCTTTCCCTGCATGTGGCTGCTCTAGCACCATGTGGCCCCTGGCTACATCGCTGGACCAGGGGAGCACAGGGCCACACTGGTACCCTGGGATCGGGAGCAGGGTGTGTGTGTGTGTCCATGCAGTGAGGGAGGGAGAGACAGAGACAGAAAGCAATGAGGGAAGGAAAGAGAGAGAGAGTTTGTGTGTGTATAGTGAGGGAAACATACAGTGTGTGTGTGTGTGTGTAATGAGGGAAACACACAGTGTGTGTGTGTGTAGCGAGAAAAACACACAATGTGTGTGTGTGCAATGAGGGAGGGAGAGTGTATGTGTGTTTGTAGGGTGAGTCCCACAAGCACTCCCACCATACACATGCACCCACACCCCCCTTGCATTGCTGTACATGCAGACCCCCACACCTCCCTACACACCCAGAACCCCCCACAAACCTATACCCACCCCAGTGCCCCCCACATACCCACAATATACAAGAGTAAGACTCCATTTTAAGCTATTGTGCAATCACCTCTACGTACACTATACAGACACATATAAATCAGGACAAATATATTTTTTGAAATCTAATTAATGAATGTTGTAGTTATTTGATTTTTAGACTATAATTTGGTGTTTTTCTGGTTCTGAGATGGCAAAGCCCCTTGCTGAAAGGAGTACTTCTGGGAACAAGGGAGGGGCTTCTGGTGGCAAAGGTCAGGGGTTAGGCGGCTGGACTTCCAGTCCCAAGATGGTGACCATTGGGCAGGGCACCTGTCAAAGGGTGGGACTACTCATGTGGCTCTTGACAGCTTACCAAAACTCGATAAAGTGGCCCTCTGCCGGAAATAATTGCCGGCCCCTGCCCTACAGGGTCCTGCAACAGGGTCTCCATACCAGTGTGGGGGTGGGGAAGAAGGAAGGGAATGGGGGTGCAGCTCTCCTGCAGTCTATGTAGCTTTGCCAAATCCCCCACCCTCCCTTTGCCAAATCCTGAGTCCACCCCTGGGAACATACTGGTCAAGAGTGCAGTGGAGCTGCCTATGAGGGAGCCCAAGGACAGAACAAGGAATGAAGTACACTGGGAAGGTGATAAGAGGACCTAGGACTGTGACAGCAAAGCCCGCTTCCAGGAAGGATTGAGGGGCATTGGCAGGATGGGCATCAGCAATTTGCAAAGGCCTCACAGGCAGAGGCTGAAACAGCCCTTAATCCCACCCTTTGTGTATCTCTACACCAAAAAACAGCTTGACCCCATGAGGCCTCAGTGCATTCTGAGTTCCCCAGCTCTCCATGCAGGTTGTGGCAGATGAAGGCTGTGAGCAGCATACAGGTGGCTCTTTCTCCCCATACTAGGTGGATAAGGAGATGTGTTTCCCTTTGAATTTGGGATTAGTTCTTGATTGTCAGAGATGCAACCAGTGACAGAGGGAGAGACTTTGAAGGCATCCCAAACACTAAACACCAGCATCCCTACATGTACCAGGAAGCTGAAGTTGATGCTCCAGTCTGATCACAGGGCCTAGATGAGCCACAACAAGCCAGCGGCTTCAGAAGTGCTCCTCAGCGACAGAGACAGGAGAGTTGATCTGTTGTTAGTCTCCTAATTGGCCCCTTGGCAGCTTGTTAAAAGCCCTGAGGAAAGTTTCCTGTGAGTTCTCTCCTGACTGCTGCCTGTTCGGAGACTTTCTTAACAATACCCAGAGTGGCTTGTTAAGCCCAGAGTCCTGCGAGGTTGCTTGGGCCCAAAGGGACATTTCCACTTTGGGGAAGAAGAGACCAAAACTATGGAGGCTGATGACAGCTCTGATGGCTGGGTTTAACCACTATAGTTGGCAAGGGCTGGAATTAAGGCCACCATTGCTGACATGATCAGTGTGTGGAGCTGCAGCTGTTTGTTACCTTGGTCTCTGCGTAAACCATACTGTGACCTTCTAGTTCGCTTTGCAGCCCCATCCCCTTAGTCCCAGGCAGCACACATACTCTGACCATCAACTTTGTTTCAGCCACCCAGGTCTATTGCCGGTTTATTTCAGAAAGAGTTAAAGATACAGCGTTTAAAAAACATGAGGCCTTTCTTTATTTGACTTTGCTTATTCAGCTTCTTGCTTTAAATTGCTCTAAGGGAGGTCAAGGGGGAGACTAGGTTGGCCTCTGGGCACATCCAGCACTGCTCACTGTTAGGTAGTCCCACACTGCAGTGAACGGAGGGGGAAAATGGGTCTTTGCATGCAGCTGGCCTCCTACTACAGGCCCAGTTTGCAGCAGTGCTAAGCATCTACAAAGTTTATTGAAGCCTGATGAAGCTGCAGGTTTTCAACATGTTTGAAAATCAAGGTAGTTTATTTCCTGGCCACATTCACCTTATGTGGGCTAATGTTCTCGAGGCTAATGATAACTCTTCTCCAGGGGTTAATATTGGCAGCTGGACTGTCTTGGTCTGGGAAGGAGATACATTAGGAAGCAGCAGCAACATGTGGCAGTGAAGGAGGATATTGTATGTTGAGGGTGAGACTAAATGGCACATGCCAGCAGGGCTGAAGGTCATTCTGTTCCCTGCTGAATGTTTCAGCCTTGGCACAAACATAGTGCCAGGCCCACTGGAAAGGATGATGCTTTCCCGAAGTAACCATGGCTCTGAAGGACTATCTTTGTGGTCATCCCTGGCAGCCAGGCCAGCCCAGGCCCAACATCCCAGAACAGTGGGAGCATCTACATGTTGCCTTACATTGCCCTATGGTATTCGGTGCACTATGGATGTAGCAATCACATTAGTTTATATGTGATCACTAGCTATATTGCTGTAGTGGCACACTCCCTGCTTATAGCATGCAACTATGGTGATGTAGCGGGAAATTTTTACATGTGTTGCCCATATGGCACAGTATAGGTGGTTACTGTGCTGTGATTTAGTACTTCCAAAAGGAAGTACTGAAAATGGTGCAGTAACACTGTCACTGTACGGTGATGTGTAGACATGCCCACTGTTCTCTTCATCTTTTGCTCTCACGCTAAGTGCATAAACCCTCTCCAAAGTGATACCTTCATTCCCTGGAATCTGTGGAGCGCCAGATATAGCAAACCAGACTGTCACTCACTTTCTTGCACAGCAACTTTGGTCCAGTGACCTTTGTATCCAACCATAAAACAGGAGCTGATCCATCCCCTTTAGACTGCAGTGGGGGGAGGCTGGTGGGCTGATAGGGGAAGGGGTGACACCATCCTTCTAAAGGCTTCTCTGTTGGGCAGTGACCTAGGGCTCTTAAGGAATCTTAGTGTACCCAAATGTTCCTCCTTTCCTCCTACACCCTGCTATCACACAGTGGGACTTGGGAAGAGAACAACATGCAGGCAGAAAAGAGAGAGCTGGGAATATGATATTCTGGGGTAGGATCCATGGATCATTTTCATGATGCTCATCAGGGGAAAGACTCCTTGATTTGGCACATCTGCCTATAGTGAGTCCTCTTGATATCAGGTTTGCAGTATTAAATGAGGCCTCAGACTGACTAGGAAAGCTGTGTGCCCCAACCTGCCATGCTGTTGCTGTTTTCAGAGGCTGGAAATGAGCAGAAAAAGTGAAAGCTTTTTATGAAATAATGGAAGATAAAGAAATTGATCAGGAAACACTGAGAGAAATTGACAGGGTTACAAGCATTACTGCCTGGTGTATTAGAATGGGTGAATACTTGGTGTGAGGATAAAGAAAAAGATTATCAATGAGTGAATAGTTGGGAAACATAGAAAAAGCTATTAAGAGGTGATGGCTAGAAAATGATATTTAGAGGTTTGCTTTTGGGAATTGGCTTGTAGGTAAAATAGATATTGCATTAGAACAATGGTCCAGGGGAATGGCAAGGAGTCATTGGTCTCAAAAAGCCTGTTTGTGACAAAGATTCCCTTAAGACCCACTGTCTGAACCCAGCAGACACACAGGCTGGGAAACTGCAGACATGTACCACACTGTTCCACAACATGAGATAAGGTGGCATTAGGTCACAATGCCCAACTGCAGAGCCCTTAGGATTTCTTGTTTTGGTGGATGGACCAAATTAGGAGACCAGTAAATAACCAAATTAAGATATGTGTGCATGTGATGGGTTTGTTGGAACAAAGGAATATGCTGACAGGACACAAGAGGACAGTACTATGACCACAGGGAGACCAATCAATGATGCCCAGAGATGAAGAATCATCAGGAGGGGAAAAGGATAAAAAAGGAAGGGTTACAGAGCAGCAAAGTGTCCCTGAGAGGGGAACCTGAGGCCACCATGGACAGAGGGCACACCACCAACCCATCTCACCCTTCCCACTTGGGTGGGAGGGAGAGAGAGGGGGGGCTCAACTCTTCAGGCTGTTAACATCTGACATCCAAGAAATAATTTCAGGGTGAAGCTTGCATACTGGCCAGATGTTCCTTCCCCCTGTGAGAGCCCTAGGACTGGTAGATATAGAATCTGTTTGCCTTGCCTATGTTATTCTTATCTGCTATCACTGTGTGTTAATCAAGTTAATCTGTTATCAAATGGGGAGGCTGTGGTCAGTCTGAGGGTTTGGGTCCTCCCAGAACAAGGTATCTGGGTCATAAATCCAGTGCCAACAAAAGGTATAAAGGAACTCCTGTTAATAAACACAGACCCAGTTAAAACAGTGGAAACCTGAGGGACCAGGCTACCCCCAAGCAGGGACTGGTGTTGGAGAGGTATAGGAAAAAGTATAGGAAAAAATGGGTAGTGGATTCCAATGGGAAAGTTAATAAAAATATATATAAATGTTAAGGGAAAGATCAAAAGCCTGGAGGCAAAGTTATTAGCAAATAAAATTGCAAACATTCAAACAAAAAAGATAAGAAAAAGGCCTTTGTAACTGTGGCTGCTCCCTTTACCTCACAAGAGAACAAACCAATTACAAGTAAACAAGACAGGCCACCCTAAGACTCGGGGTGCATTTTTCAATAACCCATGATGTTAGATGTTTGGGGACTCCTTCATATTCACAGCTGAGATAAATTTCTTATTAGATACAATGGGAGGGATCCCTACTGTAAAATATGTTTTTGATGCTTATCCAATAGCGACTACTGTAGAAAAGCAGGGAATAATCAGGAGTTATGCAAAAATATGATGTTAAATCATTAACTCTACAGTTAGGCTTATCCACAATTAAAGGACAATGTGCTGTTAGAGGGAAGAAAAACTTGACTGAAGGAAAAATTATAATGTTACTGGGGATAATCCTTAATTTTACTAAGTAATTGTTAAAACTGTACTAGAGCCAAAAATAAAAATTTCTTAAAAATAAACAGCATGGCCCATGCCCTGTTGCAGAGAAGTCAGACCGTCCCTCTATCCAACTAATGTAAATGGCGAGTTACACCAGAAATATATCATGCAGTTAAAAGTATACACAATTTTTTTTTGTGTTATAGTAAAATCCCTAGTACTCCTTGGGTGTGTCAACATATGTAATTAATGTGAGCTAGAGTAAACTAATCCTGACATCACCATCTACACATGCATTTAAGTGCAGTAATTTACTGTGCTGCCAGATACCACTTATATCTGATGGGTCTATCTGACAGTGCAGTAAATTAGCCTACTACACCCTAATTGCTGTGCATGTGTACACCAGGGATGGGCAAAATGTGGCCTGCAGGCTGGATGCAGCCCTCCAGGCCATTCTATCCAGCCTGAGGGGCTGGCCCCTAAAACAATTACAAAATTAATATTTATCTGCCCCTGGCTGCTTGTCATGCAGCCCTTGATGGCTTGCCAAAACTCAGTAAGTGGCCCTCCATCCAAAATAATTGCCCACCCTGGTATAGATGGTGACACTTTACTGCACAGCAAATTAGTCTGCCGTGCAGTAAAACATCTTGTGTAGATGTGCCCATTATAAATAATATTTTAATAGCAAACTACTGAAGTGTATCTATACCATGCCGGTGTGTGTGTGCGTGTGTGTGTGTGTGTGTGTGTGTATTTATAAAGAAAAGAGAGGTGATTTTCTTATTTTGTTTTTACAGGCAACAGCTCTAACTTGAACAATGGAAGCTTTTGTCTTGATTGTTGCCAGCAAGATGACAAATGGATTGGCTGACACACACTGGCTGAATCGCACACATGCTTTGACACAAAGGGCACTTCTACATGAGATGCTTAATGCCCATCAGACTAATTCTACTGCCCATTAGTATGCCTGGCAAAAACCATGCGACTGCACTAATAGTAGATTGGTCCAATGATCATTAAGTATCACAAAAAGGCATTTGTTTGTATTACTGCACAGTAGTGCCAGTTATGGTGGGTTAATAAACCTATAGACATTCCCATAAACTCTGGATAAGGAATTCAGTGCCACTGTATCCATTTTCAATAGTCTAGATCATAATGGGTGCATCTACACAAGATGATACACTGCTGTAGCTGCACTATGGCGATGTAGCCTTGGCAGGCATCAACCATGACACCGCCACTATGTTGCCATAGCAACACACTCCTGGGTGTGCATTGCTACTGGGACATAGTGGCTAAAAAGAACCATGTGCCACCAGCACAGAATCATTTAGTACTTCCTAAAGGACCTCTGTGTTATGTAGAGGCCCCAGCACCAGTGAGGGTGCACTTTAACACACACACACACACCCACACACACACACACCCACACACACACACACCCACACACACACACACCCACACACACACACACCCACACACACACACACACACACACTCTTACACATCACGAGTTTTGATTGTCAGCAACTTGAGGTGCAGTTTCCCAGAAACCCCAGCACCCATATCCTTAAAACTTGGCAGGCTTCATGTCCTTAGAAGGGGCTACCATTTCTATTGTTTTCATCCAAATCTGCCAAAATGACAAAGTTATAGGTAGTTTCATGCTTCCCCATTATAGCCTATGGGCGAAACAGCATCGAAACAGCGAAACAGGTTCAA